AGGTTAGATTTTAAATATTACCTTTCTATACCAAAATTTGCCTAAATAAAAAAAACATGTTGCAATCATCACTTTCGGAAATATTTATTTTATAGTTTCATGAGCTCCAGATTCAAAATATAAATGAAGTTTTTGACCATCGAATGTTGAAGTAAAAAATTGTTGAAAGAGTTTCAAAAGATATTTGCACATAGTTAAATAAGTTTCTTTTGTTTTATGCGCAAAAAAAATATATATATTTATAATAAGGACATAAATACCATGTGTGAAAGAATGTATGGTATAAAGTTGTAAAAAAAATGTTGATAATGAAATGTGATGTTCCCAAAAAACTGATTTTTTGTGCTGTCATACATTTGAAATTTTCCTTTAAGTTATACAAATAAATTCGTAATCTTCCTGAACAAAAACAAATCGATTTCCATAAAAAAAAAAAACAAAAATCATTTTCCACCAGTTTTGGTTGAGATATTGCTTCATTGAAATATGTGGGTAAAACGGTACATTTTATGCCGCTTACTGTATATCGCATTACAAATTGTAAATCGCTGTGTCTTATTTCTGCTGGATTATCTAAAATTAATTTAGTTCGTATAATTTTTAATGGTCTCGTGGAAATATTATCTTCAGCTTTTCTTTTACAATTCTCTCTCAAGATGTGTCGTTCAATTTTCTGTTGACTTATCTAAACGGTTGCGCTCATCAGTAGACTAATGTAGAGAGGTCTTATCAGTAGTTGTTACAATACTCGCAGAACAATTTTTGTTTAAACAGACCCATTTAATATACCCTTCTTTACGTTTTCTAACAAAACAGTATTTAAAATTACCTAAAAGAATTAACTGTTTGTCTCTTTCAGGCATAATTATTTCCATCAAACATGACACGATCGAATCACGAATATTACTGCACATTTGTATGAATCGAGATGGTTTTCCATAAAATTAATATACGTTTAGGAAAAATGTTATAGTTAATTATGTTTGTATTTATTCTACATCATATCTTTCTTATACCCTGGCGTAATGGTAGAAAACCATTGTTGTTCACCTTATAAGATTTTATTATTTGAAAATAAATTAAAATTTCAACAAATTTCATTAATTTCATTAATTTAGTATTGGTGCGGTGCAATTACGAAAAAAAGACGCCAAAGCAATCTAAAACAGTGCAGTAGTGGAGTCGCGTACATTTTTTATCATATTCTAAATATTTTCAAGTCCCAAAAAATTAATTAAAAAATATCAATATATTTTTAGTCATTTGTTTTGAATGTTTTTTTGAATTAGCATGTTTTAAAACGATATTTTATAATTTATTTATTGTATATTCACCTTGATTATTAACGATAGATATAGCCGAACCTTGGGCTTGCTATGTCTCAAGTTGGTAATCTAAGTGAAGAAATTATTCTGGATTAACATTAATAGCAACAAAGATGTCTTGAATTTCAGTCAAGGTATGGATGTCGACAATACCATAATAACATTGACTATGTCGTTTTTAGTAAAGCTTTTCATGTTATATTTCCTTCTCGTGGGAGTTTTGAGCCAATTTTAATACGGAAACGTGTTCGTTTCCGGCTTAGTGAGGGTTTCGTCTTGGCGGAATGAATTCATTATGTTTTTGAAACGAGACCAAAGAAATTTTTCGTATTAATGGGATTTCCGTCTTACATAAGTTCCATCTTATCGAGGTTAGGTTACTGTATAATGTTATCTATAAATATGGTTTATTCATTTTGGAAGAGTTATGAGCAACTTTGGTGAGATTATACCCCGAAAATCCATATAATTATGCTTATGACTACTATTTTATTAAGAATCGGTGTAAGAATGTTTTATTAACTTAAATAAATCATGAATTTAAAGGATAAATTATGTTATATCATTATTTATAAGTACATAATACCATAAAATTTCAAGAAAGTTTTTTGTAGGAATTATATATAGATAAGCTACATACTATTATTAAATATAACATCAGTCAAAATACGAGTATAATTTTAATCATAAATACATTAAATGTCTCTTTAACTATACTAAATCAGTCTTAAACTGTTTTATAGTATTATTTGGGTTTCCAAGTCCCTTATTAAAAATCCAGAGCTTCTATTGTGAACTTTCTTGACATATCGTTTGCGTATATCTCCGATTAAAATCTTAAACTGTAAATCCTAATTAGGTTAAATTATGTTAATAAATAATTAATTACAGTAATAATTAGTACTGCTATTATATTATTAAAATTGCTACAACGATTAAATATTTACTACCTACTTATATCAGTGATTTAACTAATGGGTTTTCAACGTCACCAACTTTTTGTAAGCAACTGAATTCAATTTATTGTGTACTAAATTTAGACAATTTCCAAGTCTCATGATTTATCGTATATTTAAACTTGTTCAGAATCATCGTGTGACTGCACGCAATGTGATTAAGAGAAATGTTTTGCTTATATATATATATATTAGTATAAGATATATATTATATAAACGTATTATGCTACGGCTTACGTTATATTTATATTCATAAACTAGAGTTGGTAATTTGTGCCACCGCGTGAAATTCAAAATTATATTTGTAATTGTATGCACCACTTTTGGTTGATGTCAACAAATAGATGCAATTTTGAATTAACATTCAAATTGTTAAATTGTAACGATCATTTATATTGTTATAAAAGTCCGTCTTTATATTTGATATAATTTATTATTTATAAACCGATCTTTTCAATAAGCTAAAATGTCAGTAGTACCTAAGTTATTATTTTGCAATAACATCTTGATATGCCGTAATTTAGCCAGCAATTTTTTTTCGGGTGGTTTCTGATTTTTTTGTTGATAAATTATGTTACAAAATTTTTTTTATTACTGCTTAGTTATATGTTGATAAAATAATAATTTATACTTAATTCATAAGTTAACACTATAGGACATTTTGTAATCGCAACACGTTTTTAAACTAAATAATGTAAAATATAGTTTAAAAAAAATTTATTTGACATTTTGAAGGAAGAGAGGGGAATCGATATAGCACTGCTATATAACTACGAGATTATTTATAATGTTTTTTTTTAATTGTATTAAATTATTTATAGTGTACATTAATACGGTGAATATACTTATTCCTACTTCTAAATCTACATATCTATATTATTAAATATTAGATTAATTTAAATGATTATGTTTAAACTATTATGTTATTGGTTAATTATTTGAATATTAACGCTTAGGATTATGATTCAATTAATGAACTTATGTATTTATAAGACTAACATGTATTATTAAATTGAATGCAATATGAATTTTTACTGACGAAGTTAATGTTGTAATACGGTAGATTATAGTTGATGTCTAATAGATTTATAGATATTATCTATGTTGAATTATATTTACTAATGTGGTTATAAGATTAATACTTTTTAACTGTTTTGATTTCAGGTATAGTATTTTTTGAAGTTGAATTTACAGCTACAATTTTTGTGTAAACAAATTAAGTCTTAATTCTCAAATAATTGTAGCGCAATAAAAAAAGGTTATTGAAACTGAATAATTTGATTCAAGTTGATGTTATATCTAATTATTTTTTTTCCATCTATTATAAATCTACTAATAAAAAAAAATAATTTTTTTTTAGTTTGCATAAGTTTAAAAAAAACTTTTTTGACTATATTTATTTAAAAATTTAAATCATAAAGATACGTTCAGTTTGTAAACGAACTCTTATATGTGTTGTTTTTAATGTATCAAGATAATAACATTCAGTTCGATAATAGATCCTGGTATAATCAATAACATATAATTCGATAACATATAAAATCGTTTTTGACAGATTATTACATTTTTTTTTATTCATAATTCTACTGTTCATGGGCGTCCCCAGAAATTTTTCTAGGGGGGGGGGAATTAATTAAAAAAATAAATGAAATTTTTTTATACATTTTATTTATAGTAAATTATTATATTTCGTCATTATTAAAATTATGAATTAAAACATTACAATTAGGTAGGTATTATTATTACAATTAAAACATTAAAAAATATTATTATACATCATTCTTTTTCATTAAATATAAATTTCAATCTCCGTGGACATTTTGAATTTTACTAATTTCTATGGAAATAACATTATTCCAGGGGGGGGCAAGTGCCCCGTCTTGCCCCCCCTGGGGACGCCCATGCTACTGTTTATCTCTTCTATTTGTATTTGATATATATGTTTATGTCTATTTAATAAGCATAATTATTTTCATCGAAAACCAAATCAAAGCTATGCCTATAAACCTAACAGGTTATGCAACACATGACTTACTAATGACACTACTATAAAATTGTCTGTTTTTTTTGGTTGCATATAATATAATCTTAAGTAAATGAAGTATTTTAGTCTAAAAAATGTATTATTAGGTCAACACACCATCAATTATTTTGTTGATTATATTTAATATATTTTTATATTTATATATTTGTTACCAATTTTTTATTTTTATGGGAACGAATGGTATAATTTTGAATTATGTATTGAATAATTTAAAAAAAAAATATTATAATTATATTAAAATTATTTATTTTAAACATTTGAACTTATAATCCTTTTATGTGCATATCAGTTACGAAGACGAGTTGACAACAGACTAAATTTCTCCCGTGAAATACCAATGGTACTTATAAGTCCATATCTATTTATCAGTATTTCATTATATCATTAATGAATTCGAATAAACGAAAACAAGTAATATATCTAGACATATATCCAAGAAAATTAAATTTTGTATTATAAAAAATAAAGTGTATTAAATATCATACTAGGGGGTGTAAAATGAGAGAGCCCCATGTATATCTATCTAGAAATTATTCATAATCCCCCCTCCCATTTCTAAGAACGCCACAATGCGAAGGTTAGATTGATTTAGCCTTCATGCGATATACATTACAGCAGAGCATCAGCTATGTCTGAGCGGTGTTTTATTTTTTTAAATTTTTTAATAACAACCGTCACGTAACAGTCGCATTCTTGACGTCGTATCGTAGACACATCGTCGTCGGTACTGCAGTAGCGACAACGTTCAATATTTTTTTGTAACTATCGTTTATAATTAATGCACGTTGTATTATTCAATCGTAATCTACCTCACCTACCTGACATGAATTGTCCTAGATTGTGTTATGATTTTTAATGTTCGTAAACAGTACGCGGTTTCGTTTCTGGACACCATTTCGTTGTTCGTGAATTAAGATATTAACGAAAGTTTGTTTTTTATATTGTTTGTTATGAGGTAACGAGTGAAGTATTTTTTTTTTTTTTGCGAAACTACCTTAAATTAATTTTTTCTCAAAAGTCCTGTGTACCTACTAATTGTGTAATATAAAAACACTGATTTTGAACATTTTATTTATGGTTTAAAAACACGTTTTTCGCCAGTTCCTCGTTTTTCAATGTTAACTCCGAGTTCGGGGTTTTAAAACTATTACTAGTATTGTTTTTTAATACATTATAAACTACATAATGCGTGGATTAAAAATTTTTTATGCCTTATAATTTAAAATAAAATACGTGCCCGGCACGAAAAGGTCAAAAAATCATACAACTATAAATATGAAAAATATAGTAATATATAATTAATATATAAAAAAAAATTTAATATTTTATAAATAAAAATAAAATAATTGAATGGTTAATTTCTTAATATGGTTTAAAAGTTAGCAAACAATTCATTCGTGTATTTGTGTTTTGTTAGGTCGTTTATTATTTTGTTTTTCAATTAAATATTAACAAAAAGCGATGTCGAGAGTAATACCAATATTTATTTATTTTTTAATTAGGATATTTGATACTTATTTCAATGATAAAGAAATATAATTTAAATTTAAAAAAATTGAACGGATATTTATTTCAAAAAATATACGATTTTCAGTGCACTGTATTAATGCTATTGTTTTTTTCGTGGCAAATCTAGGACGTACATACAAGAAATAATTAAGTTAATTATATTTTTATGTAAAAAAAAAACCATTTACAATTAATTAAAAAAAAAAATACATATGTATATGTATGTATGTATGTTTCTCGTACATTATATGAATGATAAAGAGAAAATTATAGTTTGATACCGTTTTCGTCATCATAAAAAAAGAAAATAAGTCAGCTTATTTATACAGTTCATCGACCCGTGCGGTGGTGATTTTCAAACATTTTTAGAATTTCATTATTCGCAGCGATCGCATTTGTGTGCTCGTTCGCGTTGTGCGCTCATGCTACCCGTAATCACTTTCTTAGCTTTACTCTGGCGGTAATCCAACATTTTTACTAGTCAATTTGTTTTTTAGATCCGACGAGATGGTTGAGGCCTTATCAAGTAGCTTCCAAAACTTCTATAACAAGTATACCCGATCGGAAAACCCGAAAATCGTACCGCAACCCGACAGACGTGAAATATACATAGTTCCCGTAAACGCTGCAGGTGACGATCAAGAGCAGCATGATCAGCAGCATCTGTTACAACGTTACCGTCCGAAAACTCGAAAGAGTTTTGTGTTTAGCACCAAACAACTGTGTCAAGTGAAGGATTCGAAATGGCAAATCATGAGGCAGAACAAGATGCGTCCTTTCGTGGGACCGTGTTGTTCAGTTTGCATACCCGTAAGAATCTTATGGATCGTGTTTAAGCGCCGATTTCAATTTTATTTATATTAATTATCGTCTTATTCCAGCACATGACAAAAAACAGGGAAAAGGTTGTGTCAAATTTAAAAAATATGTTAGACTTGTACAACATTGGCACTGTTGAGAAGTCGATGTTCGGTTATTTCGTCGACAATCTCAAATTTTTTTACCAGCTCAAGAGCCAAGAGTACAAATACATTTATAACGAGGTAAGTGCACGTGTTATGCTCGCAGATAATATATATATATATATATATAATATAATGTATAGATTTTTACGCAATCGTGTATTTGTGAACTGTGTATAGTATTAATTGAATTGTTAATCTAGGTTCTGGAGGACGAATTAGTGGTGAAAACAATCAGCGCGGTGGCACGTGAAGCATGTGCTGATGATTCGGCGGATGGAGGAAAGCGATTCACTAAAGAATTGGAAATACAGTGGAAAAACACCAATTATATTCTATCAGTCATGAGCGCAAAAGTGAAAAACTGGGTCTACAAGTAAACCATACAACTTTCAATAGCTCATCTATTTCGAACGTTTTATTTTTGTTGTCTGTCATTTTTAGATTCATTGGATGGTTCACATTTCGTGCGGTTTCTACGTTGGCCACTAGCCTCGTGGTCCAACCCAGTCAAATTGATAGAGTCAGAGAAGCCGAACAGAGCGGTTTACCTGTTATATATTTACCGTTGCATAAAAGTCATATGGACTATATACTAATGGGACTTGTGTTGACTATGCATAACATTAAACCACCTCTGGTCGCAGCTGGTGAGAACCTCAGAGTTTTTTTCATAAGGTTTGTATTTTTGAAAATTATCTTCAAAAGTAGTGAAAGATCAAATGGAAAATGGTTTTTAATTCATTTTAGTAAGCTTTTGAGCTACTTGGGAGCATTCTATATTAAAAGGCAAATAGATACAAAAAAAGATCAACTTTACTGGTCGATTTTAGGAAGCTATATTAAAAATAGTATGAAAAATGGACATCATATTGAGTTCTTCTTAGAAGGTGCCAGAACTAGAAGTGGAAAATGTTGTGTTCCTAAAAGTTAGTTTATTGTACAAAATCAAAATTGAGTTTTTATATTGTATATATTACAAAACAAAGCCATTTTTTATTTGTTAATAGGTGGTTTATTGAGTATTATAGTAGATGCTTATCGTGAAGGAGTTGTCGAAGATGCTTGGATAGTTCCTGTTTCTATGAACTATGACAAGATATTAGAAGGAAATTTTGTCAGAGAACAACTTGGACAACCCAAAAAAAAGGAAACTTTTTTTGCAGCTATATTAACTTTTATTAAAGCTGTTTGTTCACACTATGGAATTATGAGAGTGGACTTTAATGTTCCATATAGACTACGAGTATGTTATTGTATTTTAATTACATATAACTTATATATTTTTCTACAAAATGGATAAAGTTTGATAATTTTTAGAGAAAATACAATTTTAAAGTGCTAGTAAAAATTCAATAATTGCTATTTTCATTTAATTTTTATTGTAATAATTAAAAACAAAAGATAAAGTATTTGAATATTGTTTTTTTTTAATTGATATCTCTGATTTCAATAAAAAGTACTAATTACAACTTCTATTTAATTAAAAAATTATTTTAAATACATTTTACTTTAATGGTTTGTTTTATAAAGTAGTGTTTTAAAAATAAAGTAATAAATACTAAATTGCATATTGTAATAGTTATAAAATGATATAATTATTATTTCAATTATAAATTTTCTATAATTTATCAAAAATAGATGTAATTGAAAATTTGTTAAATCAAACTGATTGGTTAGGCTATTGGTAATAATAAATTCTATTTAATTTTTAGGATTTGTATGAATCTATTGATAAGATATCAAAATTAGAAAACGAAATGTCTGTAAAAGAAGGTATGGAAAAAGTACCTGAAAACATTCAATATAAAAATACAGTTGACAGAATGGCGAAACATATTGTTTATGGTAATATTGTAATAATAATTCATTATATGTACTGTGAATTGAATTATGATATGTTGACTTTTTATTATATATATGTTAATACAATTTATTTATTTATCAATTAGCAGCATAATATACTATGTATTTCAAGTTAAAGGTGATATTATAAATAACAGAACCGTTAATTTCAACTAAGGTGTTTTTATTTTTTAATGGTTATAAAAATGTACAATTTGGGTTATTGTTTTTGGTCTGTGTATGCTAACATAAACCATATTTTTAGTTTAGTACAGTACATTTTATAATTAAAACTAAACTTGATATTAAATGTTTTTGAATATTTAATTATATTCAAATTTAGAATAAATAAATTAACTATCATTTTTGTACATAAGTAAAAAGAAAAATACAGTTTAAATAGATTATTTAAAATAATTAATATGTAAAATATCTTATGTTACTTATAATATAGAATAATTTTATTTTATATTGAGTGAATTACAATGAATTATTTATTATAGATTGTTGGAAATCGACTGCTATAATGTCAACAAATGCTGTGAGTTTTCTACTTTTGAAAAAGTATAGAAATGGTACTACGATAGAACAGTTAGCTAAGGAATTATCTATTATGCGTGATAAATTATCCCAATGTGATAGAGATATTGGTTTTAGCGGAAATTCTAAAGATGTAGTTCAATATGCAGTAAGTTTTAACAAAAATATTGTGTTTTAACATATTAATGTTTGTTTATATTTCAGCTCAGTCTCTTGGGGCCAAAATTGGTTGCACATGAAAAAAACAATGAGGGCTATGTGGTTAAACCAATCCTCAATTTATCAAGCCTTATAGAATTATCATATTATGCAAATAGTCTTCTCTCCCATTATCTTCATCAGTCAATAGTTGGTCAGTACATATGAACTAAATATTTTTAAACAATTTATATAATATATCATAAGCAATGTACTAATTACTACATTTGATAATTTTGCAGCTCTTGCATTAAGCAAACTAGTTTGTCCAGAGTTTTGGAATAAATCAATGATAGAAACAAAAATCTCAAGAAACGATCTAATGGAATGTGTGCAATTTCTTACAGATTTATTACAATTTGATTTTATATTTATTAAACCATGTGATAATTTGGATAGTATTGTAGATTCAGTGATTAGACATTTTGAAGCAGAAGAAATTATTTTGATGGATATGGTATTTCAAAAAAATGATTTTTTTTCATTGATTATTGTGTATAATATATGTGCTAATTTTTGATTTTGTAGTTACTTGACGAAGAAAAACGAAGCCGTAAATTAGCAAGAATATTAGATAGCGATTCTGAAGATGACTACCAACAGCCATATATTGAATTTGATATTAAATATAGAGTAGGCCATTATTTTTATTTATCTAATTTACTATACTTATTAGAATTATTATTACAATTTTTTAATGTTGGGTTGTTGTAAACATTTTTTATAATTTGATGACAGCATAATACCAATGTATACTTGTTACTTTTGTGATTGTTTATTATTGTGTAGTATTATCTTGTATGATTTTTGAATTATATGACATTTTCAATTGATATTCATCATTCATTTGCTTTTTAGGTTAGTGCTAATGAAAACAGTTTGAATAAAATAAAGTATTATCGATCCATTATGATGCCATACTTAGAATGTATGGCTGAAAGTGCTGGAAGTTTCCTTGCTTTATCGAGTGATTCAGTTCCAGAACATGAACATGTACAAACTGTACTAGAGCAAATGCAAAATAATTTAGATGAAGGAATATTAATTCATGGTAAATTGTGTTTTCTATATTATAAATACACATACACACATACATACAAATATATATATATATATATATATATTAGGGTGTTCCTTAAATTTTTTTTTTTTGCATTTTTGTTGGTCTCACCCACTTAATTTGTGTATATGCCTACAAAAATGAACTACAAAAAGTTTTAAGTCAATCTATTAAGGTAAATCCGTGCCGACTTGAATTTAAAATTTGAGTATATTAATTCATTCATAATTTAATGATATATTTTACATTTTCATATATAACTCATTTAAAATTAGGAAAATTAAAATTTGTTACATAATATATTTTAAATATAATAAAATTTTCTATAAATTATGTTCTTACATACTTCTTCTTACTTATTATAATTTACAAGATATATTGAATTTTGTGTATGAAAGTACTATTTTCTCAAAATTATATTATGAATTTTTATTAATTAAAATTGTTTTTTCAATGTTTCCTTTTTACAATCAGGATATAGTCTTCTGTGTTCTTGTATACATTGTAATAGCAACTCAGACTTCTTATCGTCTTTGGTTAAAGTTCCGTGAAAATCTTCCATAAGTTTAACTGCTCCTTCCGCTGTGTCATTTACTACATTTAGCGAGCATGCAATTTCTTTCCCGTAAATATCACGAATAGCGTTTTTTTCAGAGGATGATAAAGAGTATTAATTTCGGAAAATATATATTTTTAAACAGTAAATAGCTCTACTCATCCAGCGAGCTTGATGCATTGCTCCAGGTGGACGTATTTTATATTTGTTGTCCAAATTACCATTAAAAAATGTTATAGATAACTCAAGTAATTCTTTATAGTCATCTCTGTAACATTGTTTTTGCAACATAGCTCGACAAAAGTGGAGAATATCATTTCGTACATCTTCTAAAGCAGTGCAACACTCAAGGTCGTCTATACCAGAAGTTATATTTCTAATATCAATTTTATTCCAATTGTTTCGAAACTTTTTGAATAGTGGGATATCAGGACTTGTCGTTGTATTAGGAAGTACAGTTTCAAAAACGCCACGTAAAATTTTTTCGTATATGTGGTGGCGACATGGTAGGTAAAGTAAGTCTTTCCCCAATTTTTGCTCCAATAAAACGCATGCACCATTTAAACGCCCTGTATTTGAAGCGGTGGTATCACAGCATAGAGCTTGAACAACATCTGTTACGCCCCAATTTTCTAATGCATAATATATAGCATTAGCTTGTTCTTTTCCCGTTGATTTTTCTAACTGGGATACCAATAAGCAAATCTTGATTCTTACTGGTTAAAACAATCGATAATCTATCAATACCTGAGTCTCTAACATTTAACGTTGGTAGTATTTTTCCATCCCAGTGTACAGTTATATAACTAGGAATAGAACTTTGAAAATTGGTTTTAATTTTATTGGCACGTTCAACTCGTAAAGCATCACGACATCGATATATGGACGATTTATTTATAACCAAACTATCAACATCGTTATCCAATGCTTCAGCTGTTGCTTGAATAATATAAACTGAGTCCCGTACACTTAATTTACATCGATCTAATGCAGCAACAAGCTTTGGAGAAATGAAATTTGTGCGGCCCCTTTTTTTTTCTGATAATTTCATTGGTATACAAGTGCATTGTGTGAAATCAGAATCTGACGATGACGACGATGAACTCAAGGACATATCAGATAATTGATTTTGAATTTCAGTTGCATTATAATTTGAATGTTGAAGTTTTCGATTTGTTAGTTTTTCTATTTCACTATATTTACGTTTTTTTGCTTTGTTTTCATTTTCAAATAACTTTTTGTCCATACTACCAAGACAGCCAATTCGACCAGGAAGTCTTTGATTAATTAAAAACTGTTTGTCATTTTCAATTTTCATTATATTTAAAGCATTAACATGTGCAATATCAAATAAATTGTTCAGTTTGTTTATGAATTCTGTTTCTTTTAATTTAAATGAATCGCCTACCTTTTGTGAATTTTTTTGTAGAGCACGCCATTCTTCGTACACATTTAAAAGTTTATTAATACAATGCTAAACTGCTCGGACAGGAATTCGAGCTTTTTCCCAAAAAATATTGTATTCACGAATGGCTATCGAAGCACTTTCTCTCGTATTAAGTTTTACTGTTCTCACATTATAAAAAAATACTGAAAGCACTTGTCTAATAGACGGGAGTTTTGAGTCTAGTATTTGGGTAGATGGTGACCCAATTAAAAATATTTGTTCATCAGCTCGTAATTTTCTAGACATATTTGCAAAACAATAAGGTACCAAAAAAAAAAAAAAAAAACGTAACAACAAACGATGTACTCAACTATATCACGCACCGTAACGAAGACGACTACACGATATTATTAATAAAAATCTATTAGACTCGTAGATCGTAATCCATACCATTCTTATCTAGAAAAAATATGATAATATTGAACATAACGATGTTTTTAATGTTCAAATAATCTAATGATTTCTGTAATTATGTGCAATGTGTATTTTTTGCAAATGTGTATTTTATTTTTTTCAAATATATGAGAAAATAGTACTTTCATACACAAAATTTAATATATCTTGTAAATTATAATAAATAAGAAGAAGTATGTAAGAACATAATTTATAGAAAATTTTATTATATTTAAAATATATTATGTAACAAATTTTAATTTTCCTAATTGTAAATGAGTTATATATGAAAATGTAAAATATATCATTAAATTATGAATGAATTAGAATACTCAAATTTCAAATTCAAGTCGGCACGGGTTAACCTTAATAGATTGACTTAAAACTTTTTGTAGTTCATTTTTGTAGGCATATACACAAATTAAGTGGGTGAGACCAACAAAAATGCAAAAAAAAAATTTAAGGAACACCCTAATATATATATATCATAGATTAAATAGTACTGTGTTATTTAGTCTAAGAGATTATAGTCAACTGAGTAATTTATAGTACTGTTATTCATGTGTACTAAATGGTTTACAGGTGAGAGTATATCTGTTGAAACTATCAAACATTCGTTTTTAGCATTTGAAAAATTTGGATGTCTTTCAATTATTGTAAAAGACAATATTAAAACTCTGAGCATGGTTAGTAAAGGACTTGAAGATCTCAATCCGAGTATGCAGACTATGTCGGATTATATTGAAGAAATTGTGAAGCAAATAAATTAAAAATATTGTACATTGATCTATTATATTTGAATGTTTTGGTTATAAAAATTATTTCATTAATGTTTTGTACACTTTTAAATATTATCATAGTATGCATAAGTCATAAAATAATTTCCGAGACATAAGAGTTAATTTATAGAGTTTTAGTTTTTTCCAATGCATACAAATAAATGTTCTCAAAATTATGTTCAGTGTATAAAATTTGTTATATAAAAATATAAATATTTATTATTATTTAATTTTTTATTTTATAATTATTTAAATTATGTTAATTTAAGATTTAACAATATACAATATTTGTAATTTTTAACTTCTTATAATTCACATGATATAAATTAAAGATTTTTTTTTTTTTAATTTTAAAATTTAATATAATTTTGAAATAAATCAAAACTACCAGGTTTATTTTATTTATTTATTTAAATGATAATTAGAGTATAAATCATTATCTGATATATGTAAACTCTAACTTCGGCTTGATTTTACAAATTGGCATAACAAATCTTTGACAATTCAAAAGCTACAGTTACAGTCAACAGCTTCATTGTTAGTATTAACTGCATTGTTAATATTTAATTGTATTTAATGTAATATTTTCCAGACACATTTTATAAATAAATAATGGACGTAATATGCATTTTATCAAAAACTGTTATCTCAGAAAAAACTTTTGATCAAAACTTTGAATTCACATAAATTTTGCATAAACGAATTACTATAGCAACATTAGTTTAATTTTTTTAGTAATAAAAACATATTATTGATTAGGAAGGTACTCACGTTTAGTTTCTTTTTATGTAAGTGAGATGGTACACTAAATAGTATCAAGTAGATACTCAGTGCCGGCCCTAGGGGAGGGGGCAAGCGATGCGACCGCACCGGGCCCCGCACTTGTATGGGGCCTCACGTGGGTATATTTATGGAGGGGCTGAGGGGGCTTCAGCCCCCTCCCCGAAATCCAGGAATTGTTTATTAAGTCTGTTTATTATGTCTTATCAGATGTAAATCGTAAATGTTCAATATAATTTTATAAAGAATTATTTTAATAACAACGAATAAGTTATTCGTGTAAAGGGTCTGACGATTTTGATCGTAACGATTATACCATTGAGTTTGGTACATTGTGTTTCATTTTGACATACGGTACTGCTGCATTATCGTAATTTCAATTTCTTTTACCTAGAATTGATTTACTGATATACACGCGTTGTGGCGTCTCAATCACCGTACAATATTTATACGAGCCCTTATTGGAGAATTTCAGTTGGAGAAAATACCACAGTCCCCCCCCCCCCCCCCAAAAAAAAAAAAAATCTAAATACGCCCCTGTGGCTCCACAAATTATATATTACGATTATTACTTTATTTATAAATAAAAATAATTTAGTCCCAGTATACAAATCGTAACCCGCGTGGTCGAGTGGTCTTCTCAGTAAACGGGTTGTTATCGATGAAAATTAAGATGATACCAATTACGCATAGCTTGTAAAATTGTTTATCGTCGACGACAGTTCGAAATACAGCTATAGTATATATTTAGTTATATAATAATATGAAAAAACATAGATTTCTATACACAATTAATAAATTAATATATTTGTATGGAGCCCCTCAAAATTCTGCACCGGGCCCCAAAAACCGTCGGGCCAGCATTGTAGATACTATATATTTTTTTAAAGTTCATACTCGTTTATATTAATTTATTAAACAGGTATACGGAATTTTTAAAACCTAAATTTTATGCAACGTACTATTATTTAATATATCTAATATATATATATATATATATATATTAGGGTGGAACGAATTTTATTTTTTTTTCAAATCAAACTTGTATTAGCTTTTAAAATATGTGTATATACATCAAAAAAAAGTTTGTGGAATTAAAAATAAATATATTGATATCTTGAGGTTCCTCATTGAGTATGAATTTTTACTAAAATAGTGAAAATAAAAAAAAAATAGGAAATTTTAACATATTTTGTACAAACTATAAATAATATACAGCGTAAAATTGTATAGAACTTTAATTGTAGGTCCTATTATGGTCTATAAAAAATATATTTAGAAAATTTCTCGTAAATCAATATAATTCCAAAAAAAAAAAAAATATTTCCTTTATTTGGCATAAATTTATATTTTATAGTTATTGAAACGTATACACCGAACGGTTAAAGATAAATTGTTTACATTTAATCAATTTAAATTTGATTTTAAATCGGATGTGATGGTACCGTTGTTAATACTGGTTATAAAACTGGTGTAATACGTTTAATAGAAGAAGAACTTGGTAGACCACTACGACATTTGGTAGAACAACTCGATGGTAAAACTAATGGACAATATGGACTTGTAGGAAATATTGGTAAAAACTTAGGACAATGTGAAAATTTGCCTATTAAAAAATTTAAAATTATCAAAAACAACCTTCCTACCATAAATACATTCTTAGATCTTAGTACAGACCAAAAATACTTATTAGAAATAGTACAAGCAGTATCATTGGGTGAAATTTATGTCTCGTTATCATTTAGAACCCGGGAAAACTTTCCCATGCTAGATGGTTGACAATGGTTAATCGGATTTTAAGATTGTATGTAGGAACTGAAAACCCTAGTAAAAAACTTCAACTTCTAGCTGAATACATAGTAAAAGTATATGCCCCAATATGATTTCACATAAAACTAAATCCTTTATGTATTGACGGACCAAGATATATTTTTAAAATAATTGAACTATCTAGGTGCTTTCCAAAAAATATTATAAACATTATTGATACGGTAATTCAACGAAATGCTTATTTCACGCATCCAGAAAATATATTGCTTTCAATGCTTACAGATGAAGATTCCACGATAAAAAAATTTGCTGTTAAAAAGATTTCTGAAGCGAGAAAATATAAATTAAATAACATTCGTGTCTTTACTGTTCCCAAACTTAATTTTAAAGCAACAAACTACACGGAAATCATTTTTTGGGATCAAGTATAAATCTATGAACCGCCCTTAATAAAAAATTTGGATTTAAGAAACCCCATTAAAATCATAAATATTCCGTCTCATTGTCAAGCAGTGGGACGAAATGTACGCTTAGTAACCGAATCGGCCGTTGCTGTTTGTGGATCAAAAAACAGGGAAGGATTTGTTCACGTAAGAATTAAATCAAGAAATTCTCTTCCGACATTTGAAAAAAAAACAAGATTATTTTGCTGAAAAGTAATTTAAATTGTATATTTCATAAGATAAAGTATATTTTGTTCGGTTTATATATTAATAATTTAGTTTTAAGATTTTTATGTTAATTATTTTATAATTATGGGAAAGTAAGTAAATTAAAAAACAAATAAAATTAATTTTCTGCTTTTAATATTAGAAAAAATTCAAAGTCAATTAAGAACCTTAAGGTATAATTAGATTTATTTTTAAGCTTCACACTAATTCTGTACAAATGTACAGTAGGTAATCGTAAAAATATTATTTTTTCAAAACAAATAAAATATTTTGTGTTTTTTTTTTTTCGTAATATTATTAATTTACGAGAAATTTTCTAAATTTATTTTTTATAGACCATAATAAGATCTACAATTAAAGTTCTATACAATTTTTTATTATAGTTTGTACAAAATATGTTAAAATTTCCTATTTTTTTTTATTTTCACTATTTTAGTAAAAATTCATACTCAATGAAGAACATCAAGATATCTATATATTTATTTTTAACTCCACACACTTTTTTTTGATGTATATACACATATTTTAAGAGCTAATACAAATTTGATTTAAAAAAAATAAAATTCGTTCCACCCTAATGTATATAATGATCAAGTAACACTTTTACTATACATTTATTTATTATAAAGGAAGAAGGCAACATGCCTGTGTATTATTTATTATTATTGCTATTTTTTGTTTAATGGTAATAAAGTAAAATGTTTGTAATCACAGTTATCTATATTTATGAATATTTTCAATCATACAAAGTTTTAACTATATTATTTAATAGTCAGATAATAACTAAGATATTGACTATCAATAGCAGTACACATTTATGATGATTACGTCAATTTGACATGGTAATGTAAATTATATATAATAGTATAATAAATTATAATGTTAGCTTGTGTAATTATGTATGTTTTTCATTAGTCTCTGTCTTATCGACGGCAAAACCATTGCGATGTTGTGGTCTTGGGTAAAACAGCAAACCCGAATTTGCGTGTAAGAATCCATCGTACACGATTCCCCAAAAATGTATGTCTATCGGTTTCTTTTTCGTTTTCGAGTCAATAACACCTACCTCATCCTAACTTACGCCCCGGACGACGAACCCAGTACGACGAACTTTCTACGCAGCCACGAGGTTAGTCCACGCATTGTTATCAGATCGAGGATCGCCACGTCAATGTTGTTGTGTCTGATTTCCGAACGTTAGAAGCGGTTTTAGAACGATTCGCGTTTCATCCGAAGCAAAGCCGCCCCTGCAGTGGCGCGGCGAACTCTCGGAGGAAATTTCCTCTGAATTTTTAACGGCAGCGGACGGGGATGGATCGCGGTATCCGTGTTCGACGTGAATAATTTTCGCCGGGGGGCAGAACGTGTAGACCGAATAACGTGGGATTTGCCACGGTAATGCGGAGAACCACGTAATCGGCTTTACTTGGACGGAAGAAACGGCCGGCGGGAGGGCCGAGAACGGGACTCGTTTGCACACCGTGAAATAATGAGCTCAACAGGACCGTGGCGAACGAGCTTACACGCCCGGGAAAGGACGCGAAAATAAAACAATAATGTTACGCGAACAACCGTGCGCGGAAAAAGGAGACTTGGGTCCATCGGGAAAGCGGATCCCGTACGGTCTAGCACCGGCCCACCGACATGTTTTCCGTGTTTTTTTTCCCGTCCAACTGACGACAAGGACCCGTTGTTTCATCATGTCGATTCTCGTCTAGAACCCGACCAGAAACGTATCGTCCCGCGCGACGCAATTACCCATTATTCTCAACGGGCACGGCGCACTTGGTCAAGCCGTCGCGACGTTTCGTTTCGACTATTTCTGGTGAAAGTCCAGTTGGCATGAGCAGTGGCGTAGAAAGACTGACTAGCGCCCCTGGCAAACTTAGAAAAAGTTACCTTTCTAATCAATTTAAATTTGATGTCATGATATTTTTTTTAACCTTTAATTTTACTAA